TGTGTGAATCTCGAAGGTACCTGCAGGTGGTCAAGTGTTCGCGTCCGGGTACAATGGACGAGAAAGAAAGTGTTATATATCGATCGATGGCTTAGTCAACTGAACAGCGGTGACATGGGTCACTGACACAAAGGGGGAGGGTGAGAAACAATCAATTCGATCAATAAATTCGTGAGTCGGCTCAGACATGTGACACAAGAACAAGCTTCAAGGGTGAAGTAAGGAAACGTACAAACGGAACAGAGTAAACTGGATACGAGGGGACGATAGTAGTAGGTGATCAACGCCGATTCAACGCCGCCCCCTGAAAGCCAGCACGGCTTTCCTACCTGCCGTCTCATGAGCTGAAACAGAAATGGTACAATTCACTCTTGCCACAACCGCTCCGACATGTAACGCAAGTGCGCCTACAACAGTGAGGTCTCTAACTCTCATCTACTCCCTCTAGCAGGCATACTTTACGGATGTCCCTATCTATAACTCCTCGTGCGGTCTTGATTGAAACCTTTCTTACGAGTCCATCATCTCCCGGAGTCGCGGAAGTAACAATTCCCTTCGGCCATTGGTTCCGAGCTTGCGTTTCTCCTATGACTAGCACCAGATCTTCAGCTCGTTTATTTCACCGGGCCTGTTTCCACTTTGACCGTAACTGCAATAACGGCAAGTATTCGTGTATCCAACGACGCCAAAAGTTGTCAGCCACGAGCTGCGCTTGTTTTCATTGCCTAGAGTAGCGTTCTCTAAGACTTGTTTCCAAATCCGGGTTCTCGGGGAAGTTTCTCATTAGCAAAACATTATTAAGCGTTAATACGTTTATTTGTTCGGGGTCATCATAAACGGGCACTAGAGATCGACTGTTCAATATTCTTTCCACCTCAGTCAAGTAGGTCGACAGTGATTCATCCGTTAAAACCTGTTCTCTAACCACTGCACTCAACAGTCGCCTTATGGATCTAATGATTCTCTCCCAGACGCCTCCGCGATGACTTGCATATGGTGGGTTGAACAACCATTCGACTTGTTGTTCCGTCATTTGTCGTTCCTTTTGATCGCACTGGAGGCTGTGCCAGAACCTCTGTAGTTCCCATTCGGCTCCCACGAAGTTGTTCCCCTTATCGCTGTACATCTCTTTCGGTGTACCTCGACGATTGATAAATCTTGCGAACGCCATCAAAAGTGAATCAATGGTCAAGACGAAAGACACTTCAATGTGAACCGCTCTGGTCTTCAGACAAGTCTTCAGACACCCATAACGCTTTCGAGTTGTGCGCCCTTCACGAACAAAAACGGTCCGAAGTAATCCACCCCGGTGATTGCAAACGGATTGTCAGGTTCCAATCGCGCTAAAGGCAAATTCGACATCATTTGTCCCATTGGCATGGCCGACCTGATTTTACAGCCTATGCATTTATATACAATTCGCTTGATAGCCGCAGCTCCTTTAACAATCCAATACTTTCTACGTAATACTGCCAGAATGTAAGTCGCGCCCATATGTCCTTCTATCTCATGATAGTGCCGCACAATACTATCCGTGACCGGATGGCGATGAGGAAGTATAACTGGATGTTTCTCGGTAATGGATAAATCACTACCACCTAGCCGTCCGCCGACACAGAGAAGTCCTTCGATGACCACTGGTCGAAGTTTGTCAAGTGCCGACCTAAATTTGGTACCCCGCACTGGCTGTCTCCAACACCGGATGACGTCCTTGATCATTTGGTCCTGTACGTATTTCACGATGTATCGTTCCGCCGCCTGAATATCCTGAGTCGTTATGGGTTCGTGTTTATGGGCGAGTCCGCACAAGAACCTCTTGAATTTGGTAAACCAGGCGACCGCACGCCTTAGCTTCGTCCATGATGAAAAATAGGAGAGAAGTGAGTCCATCGGATATTTCCTGCCTTCCGATGCCATAACCTTAATCTGCTTAATTTCCAAATCCGGGATGTCTACTTGTATTGTGTGGAAGATACTTGTTGGCCATTCATTCTCTCCCTTGATCAAGAACCCTGGACCATTGAGCCAAAATTGTATTTGCGAAAGCTAGGTGAAAGGAATCCCTCTAGAAGCCAAATCGGCTGGATTTAGATGCGATGGCACGTGTCGCCAAAGAGTAACATCGGAGTGTTCACGAATAAACCCAATTCGATTGGCGACAAATGTCTTGAAAGCCGATGTAGTATTTCTCAAGTAGTGTAGCACTATGATAGAATCGGTCCAGAAGTAGGCTATCTCTGGCTCCAACCTCATTTCTTTCGTTATGTATCGCATCAGGTTCACTGATAATACTGCTGCTTGTAGTTCTAGACGCGGGATGGTAACAGGTTTCAACGGTGCTACTCTGGATTTACCCATAACAAATCTGCAGTGGAGTAGGTCCGCTCCATCTTGACAGCGTATGTATGCTGCAGCGCCGTAACCTCTCTCTGAGGCATCAGAGAATAGATGGAGTGTTGTGCGGCTCATAACACAACCAGCAGGAATCAGACAGTGTGGAATTTCGAGAGTTTCTAGTTCACGTACGTTATCTTGCCATGCTACCCATGCCGACCGAGTAGCTTCATCGGCGAGTTCGTCCCAGCCATAACTTTGTCTGCATAGTCTTTGCATCAGTTGTTTCGGTTGGAGTAACAGAGGAGCCAGCAACCCAAGAGGGTTGTATAATGAAGCTGCAGTTGATACTATACCTCTCTTTGTAGCCGGACATTCAGGGAGATTCACTTTGAACGTGAAGCAATCGGACTTCAGGCTCCAAATAAGTAAATATTTCGGGGTAATTGGTTTTACCAGAAATAAATATGTGAATAATTATTTTATGCGTTGTGGCCTTTTCCGTTTTTCTAGTTCAAACATAAATTCCGTTCACGATTCTAGTGTAAACCCCTCTAAAATCCTCCGACAGCGCCATCTGGCGACAGCAGAAGCGGTAGCATTAAGCTTTTTGCGATCAACTCTATGCTCACAAAAACAATTCGTCAAAGCCCCATAGGTACCTTGGCTCAGACCCGACACTGACCATCAATTAACCCATGACGCTTCTCGTGACCTTTTCACCCTAGTGTATGTGACCTCGCCCTTCCTGTTTCATTTCTCTTTTTTTGTTTTCACGTCTTTCCCAACCACTTCCATGCCATCCAATCAACGCGTTTTCATTCGGACATTATTTGTTGCACTGTACCAGTCAGAGGATGAAGTTATGGAAAACGAGCTTGTTCGCTACTCATGTTGTTCTGTCAATGTTACGATGGGAATTTTAAGTAAATTGTTGTCATTAGTTTAGTTTTTTAGTGTAAATTATCACCTATCCATCCTTTTCACTATCGTCGTAAAATGCATACTTATGAAATTTTAAAAAAAACATACTTCAACGTGAATGATATTGCACCAAGTGCACTTAGTCGCTTCACCACCCAGCAACGAAATTAGATGCTTCTGGCTTGGCACCCTGAAACCATGGTAACCGGTGGTTAGGGACCATGAGCAATAGGGCTGAGTGTGTCGTAAACAGTGGCGCTCCTGCATCTTCTCAATTTCTTTGCAACCTTAGCCTTTGTGAAATCGCTGTTTTCTCTCTAATACTGAGTTGAAAATTACAACTTCGTCTTTACTCCTTCATCCAAACGGGGATTCATTCACCGGACAGCAATCAAAAACAGGCGCACAAAATTGTATGGTTGCTTGGTTGTACAAACTGAAACTGAAACTCATTCAGGTCCGGGACAATGTTCAGTTCAGTTCAGTTTTTTACAACCATTAACCATACACTTTCGTGCGCCGGTTTCGATTGCTCTCTTTTGGTTGCCCATTTGGACAAAACAGCAGAGTGATGATTAGGATGTTCAGAGCAGATTCAAGTGGAAGATAGCACATTTTCATAGATTGAAGTTACAAGAATAATGAGTAGATGCATGAGCGTCACTGTTTGCGCCATCCAGCGATATCGCTCAGTGTGTCTCTAACCGTCGGTGACCATGATCTGTGGGTCTCTAGCCAGGCAGCCTAACGGGACCTATGTGAGCCAGTCTCGTGGCAGGTTTTTCATACCATCCTGCCAGGTCTTAGCTTGACCGCCCTTCATTTTTTTCCCAAACGCTACGTGCCTCGCCAAGAATCACTGACCGTAGCAATCTATCTGGTGACATACGTAGCACATGTTCCATCCAGCGTAATCTATGGAGGTCGACTACTTGTTCCAGTGGACGACCGCGATTACCTAAAACTCTACGCCTAACCTCAGCAGTGCTCGTCCGGTTTCCCCACCAAACTCGTGCAATGCTACACAGACAACGGTATTCGAATACAGTCGACAATCTATTGTTATCCTGTTCTCATAATGGCACCGTAAAGCAGAACTGGCCGAACTGCTGCAGCAATGTGGATTTATCGAAGAAGATGATTGCTCTTCAGAGAGGGGAGAGGGCTACATTTATGTATTGGTAAATGGATTACAGTCACCGACATATTCCCCCGGAAAAAATTGTCATCCCAAAGGCGAGAGCTTGACAATTGTTTGATATCAGCTTATCGTAAACAGATCTAAAATCGTATGATTACCAGAGTTTTTCTGCATCTTCCGTTCCTTCAACCAGTTTAGAGTAAAAACGTTCCAATGTTGTGCAATTTCTTCTGAAAGGTAAACTTTACGTGTTTTGATTGCGGTATCCAATGCATGTTCTGTGGACCGGATAAATTCTAAGAGTTATTTTTTCTTCTTCCTTCCTTGGTTGGATAGTACAAAGTACGACAAGGTCACATGAAATCACGCAAGCGAAATTTCTGTTAACTGACTCAGAATACTGGCATTTTTCAAATGCTATTTTATAGATTTTTCAGTCGATATACTGTGGTTGCATTAGATTGGTTTCTGAGCGGTCCGAGTCAGGGTTGGATTCCATGAGACACATATACACAATCCGCTGGGAAACAGTGACATGAGTCTGTTGCTACTGTGTCACAATCAAAGAAACCTTTACGTTTTTTGGTGTCCCAGAGGGATACTATTCAGTAAAAATATTTTCGGGTGTATTCTCCTGTAATTTACATCGTTCTTCGGCCAAAATCTGCCCGATTGCATAATGATTGATCATTTGTTGTAGACTGGTTCGAGTGAGCCACAGTGGAGCATTTTTAGGATTATGATAACCGTACGGATATTCACAGCTCACAAACCGATTGCCCAATGGCGGGTGTCCACTGTGAGTGTCACGGCGTCCACAGGTACCACAGATTGTGATTTTCAAACTTGCCAAACTCTCGTCTTCCAGTGGATGACGTTCCATTTGAACGCTTTTCTGGCGTCACCGGGAGGAGGACACTATTTATCGTCTGATCTTTGGCCCAATCACTGTTCTTATTTGAACCAATTTGTCGATGCGCACGTAATTGTACAATCAATTGCTGGTTGAGTCACGTGATGCGATGAAGAGTTAGTACATTGATTCTAGCGACTCTGGATTTTGAGCGCACGAAATAATGAGAGTTCTGTTACATTGGTGGAATTTCTTTAACCTATTCTAGGGAATTATTGAGATCACTAAGTGTGTTTCACTCTTAAATCGAAATGCAAAGTATAGTCTAACGTATTCAGTCCAGGATTTAGTTTTCCGGACCGTACATCCAAACTGAGTAGCATTCTACGATAATGGCCTTAGCTGTGGCCCATGTTCAATCCCGAACAACTCTGCTACGTCATGCTTTGATGAACTGACCATTCACTCCGCAAATTGTCTAACATCCTCACGTTTACGGTTCTCATATACACTGTTGCAGCTTTCGCCAACTTGCGACACCTGTGGGGCCGCTATGACATCTGACTATCCCTCAAGGGAAGGGTGTACATCACTGCAGTTCGTAGCATTTTACTTTACGGTTGCGAAGTCTGGCCTCTCCGCGTTTAGGATGTTAATCGACTTTCTGTATTCGACCACGATGTCTCCGAAATACTGCTCGTGTCTGGTGGGAATATTGGGTGAACAGTGACGAGGTCCGTCGTCGTGTGTTGTGTGCGGATAGTCGTTATCTAACAGAAGTAATCGCTCTACACCGCCTTCGATGACTTGGTCATGTATTGCGTATGCGTGCTCTCTTTGCACGTGCCGGACAAGGATAGAAAAAACGCTGCGGCGGTCATACCATGACATGGTGTAGTAGTATGAAGAAGCTGGCTTCAGTTTTGGCTTCGGTTGGTGCAGCCCGCCTTCCAGGTTGGGGCCCAAGGGATGAGGATTGTCGTTGATTATAGACACTAAGAGATGGCCCAGAATAGAAATCAGTGACGCGAATGCTGTACAATTTGTCTGTTGAAGTCCTGTGCCCCATAAAACGATAAACTAAGACGCCCAAAAATATTTAAAGTGTACGGTGAAACAAAAAATCGTTATCCCATTTATTTGTAATTTTCCATTTTAACAGTTCCGTTATTGAAATCAATCGATGAGATTATATAATATTTACTTAGAAATATCTTTGATCAAACGAGTATTAACCAGCCACTGTCCTTGTTCTTCGAGTCATATGTCTTCTGTTTGAACGGTATGACTGTTGACTGATCGATACTGTTGGTCCATGGCCGAATGTCCAGAAACTGGATCGTACAGGTGCTTGGCTAGCATCATCTCGGAGAGCTGACTCACCACAGCGTTACTTAGCCGTAACAGTTTGCTCTAATCCCAACTGTCGAGGGAACGCGTCCGAATGGATCCAAAACATGGATTCCCCAATTCCGTTTCTCCGTAATCACTGGTTCACTAAAAAATGATGTAGGACTCCGGTCAAATTGGCATGTGTAGACCATTTGATCCATAAAACATGTCTACTTTCAACGATAACTAAAGTAAGGGTTGTATAAGGAACTCCCTGAGGTGATCTGCAGAATATCGTATAACTGCTTTCGCTTTGGGAACCATTATTTCTGAATTAATTTGATTTGATTTGACGAAAACTTCGAACACCGACACATTCAACCACAAGAATCCAATATTGAGAACTATGATTGAACATTGTCTTTATTTTCCATTTTCTTCCCAAGGGTAGATTAATTCTAGAACTGATAGCCACCCAACCTCCCGCACGTTGCATTGGCTTGAGGAGAAAATTGTTGGATTTTCAATTATACACCATGCCCTGTGGCATGGAGTGATTCTAACAAGATTATCGATTTTTAGTCAATAGATAAAAACGGATCGAATTCACTAATGAGATGTCGATGAGTGCCCAAAAACCACTCCTGAAGTACCTGCTCATTATGCTGTTAGTTTGGCGAGAATTTCTGTTCCCATTTAAGATTACCGGTGACAGTTTTGCAGCTTTCGTAAAGTTACCTTATAACCTCTCTATCATTCGAGTCGATTTATGTGAGCTAGTACACATATGAGGGAGGGGGGACGTGAGATGTCTGATGTCTGATTGCGGAAAGTTGAACGGGGACAATTCAATTTCATGCTTCTAAATTGAATTGATTGAGCGCTTTGTTTTACTGCAATGACCGAATTGGAGGGCTGCTCACCAGGACTGTGAGGAACGAATCGAATGGACGACCGACAGGTATGATCTACTTTATTGTATTGCAAACCCGGTGTATTGACTTGATTAGAAAAATTAATCACCCCTTATGTTCGATTCGATTAAATGTGCACCCATGTGACCCATTACACAGATGACCTTCGAATGTAGCTTGCCCATCATCATGCCCCAATTCGGTCCGACGACATACTTTGTACTTTGTTGTTATTGCTCACATACCGCCTCTAAGCGTTCCTCGTCCCACCCATTCGTACGTCATTTACCCTTATCGTCCTTGAGCTCTCTCTCTGTTCCACGCTTACCATTCTCGCGTGTCATTACATACGGACTACCCTGGATCAATTCCCCCATCCATGTTTGGTTCTAGTCCCTTTTCATCCCGTCCTCTTTATGTTGGCCTTCATACTTGATCATTCGCTTCATTTGATTATCGGACTGCTTTGTTCCATAGGATCCCGTGAACCGTTTGTGTGCCTTGCATTGACCAATGACTGCGCTTCATTATCGAGCACATACGATTGGTGTTTCCATCCCTTAAATTGTCCCTTTTCGAAGCCTAGTTTGCAATCCTTGTGGGGACCGCTCCGCAGGAGCTTTGTTCTGCGCCTTGACCCACTTTGTATCTTGTTCTTGTACCGTGGAGACCGAATTCGCCCACAATTTGAGGCATGATGTTTATTTTTGTACATATTTGCCTGCTTATAATACACATAGATTATCGACTTCTCGTTATCTGGAATCGGACTTGGAGTTCGTATCAACGAGTCACTTAACCACTGGACGACAGTCCGGTACACCTGGTATTTGGTCCCTGTGGTGGGTGCGCGATAACCCGTGATTTCAGTCAGATACTTCGTGTTCCTTTTTCCTTAGACAAAAAAAATGAATTCAGATAGGATTCAACTAACCGCACTGTAAATTTTTCGTTCTCATTGATGCTGATCAATGAACGTGTTCAAGCCATTTGGTTAGACCAGAAAACAAAATGGCCAATAACCATTCTGCTTGACGCCTGACATGATCTAATAATTATTGATATTGGGTAAAGGCGTTGAGAAAAAATGAACTGTGCTCGGAGAAAAAGCGTTATCTTATTTTGTACTCCAGTCCTGCCAACGTGGACTAAACTGAGAGTTAAAACCGAAAGAAGATAGATATCGCGAGATGTTGACCTTTCGTTTAATCTTCTCAATCGCTGACGGGAAACAAAGAAGCACATATACAACAAGCGCACTGGATTTATAAATCCTACTGAACGGATTTGTACAGATAGACAGGGGCTATTATAATTGAAAACAAAGGGTAAAACTCCACATGGCAAGTGAACTGATTGGATCAACAACTTCTGGGTGCACAGATCATGGACGGTGTAACCGACTTAGCAACACCTAATTTATTGCCAACAGTTTTGCCCTGCAGTTACGTAGCAACGGTTTGAAAGAGGAAGCGGGGTCAACTGTGTTTGGTTGCCATCAGATGTTTCGCAAGTGATGACCCCGGGTTGCATGTGACAGCCCGATTACTGGGAATGGGTTGCGCCATCGACCTCATCAACCACTTTGGAATGTGTTCGGCCATCCACTGTGATAATTGATCGTTTGTTCTGCCTATGTATACGTCACCGTAACGGCAGGTGAACTGGTTTAGTGTGTGTGAGACAGAACTGGATTGCCAACCATGTACACGTTTGTCTAAATCGATTCCACGAGTAGAGGCAATAAGTCGAAGTTGATCAACTGGGAATGTGCGGTTGAGAGCTGACTTTAACTGTTGGCGCACATCATTCATAAGTTGACCAGCCTTAAAAGATATTGTTGTTGGAGAGCTCACTGAGTTGGAAGTGTTGTTCGCAAACGTTTCGTAGCCAAACTAGGCAACATCATCAGTACGACTTCGGGGTGGACCAAAACCCTTGTCTTTCTTTCACCCCCCTCTCCAACAACCGAATAACATCTTTGGTGTGTTAAGTAGAAAAGATCAAATCACTCAAGAATTATTTTATCCACACCAGTGAATCAATCTATCATTGAGGCAGCCTGAACAGAAAAATTACGTCATTTGTCCCCAAACGAAACAAAACACGAGAGAGACAATTGTTGAAAACTTCAAGGAAGATCGCTTTATCAGTTAATTTCAAACTGTACAATCAATTATAAAGCCAGTGGAAAGCTCCGTTTGTGTTAGTGTTAGTGTGTGTGCCCCAAATGTCTGCATGCATGAGTCGGAATGAGAGGAACCCCAATGACATTATGGGTTGAAAACGAGTGGGAAGCAAAACACAAGCCTCGGAGATTAACACGAAATCAATCAATTGCCTCAGTCACATTTCGACTATGTAGTCAGTCAGCTATTCACGAGGATATATATATATATATGTGCTGTCGGAATAAGTTTGTTTAATCAAATCAATGGTTTTGATGGTGTTCGATTAGATAAGCTTTTATTTGTCCTTCAAAAGGCCCCCGTCCCCCCATCCATCCACCTTTTACCAGATTAGACTGAAAATAAAAGAACACCAGTCATCCATCCACCTGCTTTCATGATCAAATCCCTACCTTGTTATCATCCATTCTACGAGACGCTATAGCATCACCTTTTCTATTTTTATTGTGGTTATCTAAATTACCGGAGTTTTCCCTAATTATAAGAGGTACCAGTGATGCACTCACTATATGGTCTATCCCATTGGATTACACCATTTTGTAATGATTGAAGTACGCACAGATCACAGATTTCAAATCACGTATTAGCAACCGCG